TCAACAGAGTACTCTCCAATAATGGACGAGAAATAAGAATCATTTCGCACTAAATGGCATTGGGATTGGGCATCAGGATTATACATAATAGAATGGTATATGAGTATCAAACACGGAGTCCCGGAGCGTAGCGAGCCCGTCTTTCCAATGTTGTAGCAATAATAGAATGAAAGGAGATGGTAGTGTCCCTATCTCCCGGGACTTTGGTCAACAATTTTCCAATGGGCTTAGGAGAGTAGCAGACTTTGTATACAAGTTGAAAACCAGCCCACAACTGTGAGCCACAAGTAGGTGCACATACCGTGAACATAATCATGCGTATCAGGCCGTATTGTCCCGCATTGTGGCAAGTAGAAACGGCTATCATATAAATTCTGTGGCTCATCGGATAGCCTTGTCGAATGAAAGTGTTGTCCATAGGCTTACTCTACAGAACAATATTTTGGTATTAGTGATCAGTTCCAAGTCATATGGGAATATCGTTCTGTAGAGTAGGCCTATCTAGGTCCAGCGAAGTGGCGGCAAGTACTGGACTTGGAAGCCACCAAACAGCCAAACAGAGCTGATGGAGCGATTTTCCCAATTGATGTATGGCAGGCTTCAAACAGAACCGGAGAAGCACATGTGGTTGTTGTAGGGACATATGACTGTCAAATCCAGGGCTTAATAGCAAACGGAATGAATTATGTAGGTCAAGTCAGTCTCTGTTCATAGCTGATACTGCGTATGTTAATTTCGCAAATATTTTTATCCATAGTAACCGATCTCAAAATCAGAGATCCATTCTGATCAAGACATCAAGATACTAAAGTCTTAAACAATGTCTAATAAGAACTAATTGCCCTCGATCATATGTTTCATGCTCCCCTGGATACAGCCTTATGTTTTCATGTGATTTTCGGGCCGCGAAGCCCTAGTTCCAGCCACTTATACCAGCAAGGGAGAAAGGCAATTGCGAGACGCATCATTAAATTGGAATTCTCAATTTCTTTGAACACACCCTGCTTTTTTATTGCGTATAGCAGCTATCTAGGATAGCAATTGTTGGCAATTATTGCCTTGGGGCTCCGGTGTGGAGCTTGTATGGGATGCGAGGCAGAGTCCAGATTGATGCATTGTAGTTCCGGTCTGGCAAGATCGCGCAGGGCTATAGCAATGGTTACCATGGAAATTGACCTATTGAAATTGAAACATTGAAACAGAAGATCTGGTGTGAGACTTGGTGAGACCTAAGACAGCCAAAAAGGCCAAGCTTTAGGCGACGGATGTGCTGGCGATCGGGCCGCGAAACAACTCAACCATCTCCGTAATTGTTCCTCGCAGTTTGATTCGATCGAATTTTGAGTGTGACAGATCAAATTAATAGTGTCTGAGTTGGAAATCCTTGATCTACTTCATCCCTATTGGCTTGTTGAGTGTAAACCTCAGTGTGGTGGCTGGGGTGGCTGGGAAACGTCACCCAGCAAGATGGCAGACAAAAACCCGCTGGGCAGCGATTGCTGGTTTTCAAAAAAAAATCCCTTCGCATCTCAAGGGTGTCGAGGAATGCTTCTAGATTAATTATAGTTGCGCGTGGGACCAATATCCAGCCAGCATGTCGAACCCGACGAGAAACTTCAGCCTGCGCAACGTTAACAGTACGTGCATATAAGAACCCCCGCCCCGTTGTCTTCTTAATTACAGACATTACACTACTTTCAGAAGTCTCAAGTCAACTGACCACTATATAGCAAGCAAACCACAGCTTGCCCGGACAGAATCTCAACAGTCCGTGGCTGCATCAGACGATTACTATTCATTCTCAGATCGAGCTCCGTCTAGTCCTGAGAGTGTAGCAACAATCATGCGATTCAGGACTGCAGACTCACATGCACCATCACCCGCTATGTCGCAAATACATCTTGCCCAAGAAGATCCCGAGTCCCAACGCCCACCAACATCCAGCACAGTCCGGTTTGCAGAAGACAGGCCGGATCATGTCAGTCCCATATCCGACGCAGCAAGATCAGACGAGACTGCTCTCCAATCTCCGGCTGATTACCCGGGTCCAGCTCCGACACCAGGCATGGACGACTCCCCATACGTCCGGTTTGCAATCGACCAACTCACCCAGGATAGAGCTCGGGGGGTCCAAAGGACCGACTCGATTTCGACCACGACGACAAGCGACTATCCAACCGATAGGATGGTATGGGACGAAGGTCTCGGCTATTTCACCCGCACACGAACCCCCATTCGACATGACGCGCCCCCAGCGAGACCGTCGTATACATCTTCCTCACCACAGGCTTTGCCGCAAAGGCCAGCCTCAGTGGACCCCGAGTCCTTTATGGCTGTTGATGCGCCGGAGCAGAGCTTGTTGTACCCAGCTTTGGACTACTTGCCTCTTGTTCTGCGGCCGTGGGCTTTGGCACTCGCGATATTTTGCTGTCTGCTCATGATGGCGGGCATAGTGTTTTGCAATGTTTGGTCCCGTGGTGACGAGGGTTTATGGAACTACGTGCGTCAAGGCGACTCGAGGTATTTTGTGCTTCAGTTCCTACCACAGGTAGTTGCCGCGCCCATCATCATCTGGTTATTCGTCATTCAGGCTGCGGTATATCGCATCGCACCTTTTTCTATAATGTCGGCAGAGCGACAGGAAGGTCTGGTAATAAACCGCCTGCCTATCCTCTCCAAAAACTTTATCTTCCCCGACTTCTCCCATTTCCGACATGGAGAGGCCTTGTTCGGATTCTCGTTGTTCACGATTTGGCTTTCAAACTTCTTCGCCATCCCTCTCCTCAGCTGTCTTTTCCAGGCAAAGTACTATATAATTGACGGACAAGGTGTCTGGAGATGGGCTTCAGTCCAATCTGTGGGCTGGACATTGGTGGGGTTATATGGTGCTTTGACACTAGGCTTGATCATGCTTTTCGTCCGTTTCCTTCGTGGTCGGTCTGGCCTGATGTGGGATCCCGTTAGCCTGGCAGATCTGATCTCAATCATTCAACGATCAAATATTCTCCACGACTTTGAGCACTCTGAGACAGTTCCCTCAGTCCGAGAATCACTTGATCCCCGAGTCCTTCGACTGGGCTACTGGAAACTCTCAAGCAAGACTGAGGTCTTCTATGGAATCGGCGAAGTAGACGCCCCTGTGCGCACCCCATCTCTCCATCAGACCGGCAAAAGCCGAGAGACCCAGCCCCATGGACTTGCCAAGGTTTGCTTTGATATTGAGCACAACGGTGCATTTGCCAACGACCCAAACGACCACCACCTATACTCGCCATCCGCCCGTTACCGCTGGACACCTTGGTTCCTGCGCAAACTCCCAGTATTTATTTGGATTTTTATTGTCTTCGCCCTGTTTATCGCTTTTGTCGCCGTTAGCTTCATCAACAGCGCCATCGAGGGCGGCTTCCCTCCCAAGCTTCCGAGTCTCCCATCAGCTGGCGCATTCTCCTCCTCCAATTTCCTCTACAGCTTCATTCCCGCACTAATTGGCAACGTCCTTTTCCTCGCCTGGCAACCCATCGACGTGTACTTCCGCGCTCTGCAGCCATACGTCGAGCTTCTCATCCCCCAGCGGCGCATCTGCCGAACGGAGCATTCTACTCTCCTACCCATCCTCCTTCCCATTCCAAGTCACCATCCAGGCCATCATCAACCGCCACTTTAAAGTTGCCTGGGTCTCTCTCATGAGCCTGCTATCCCTCGCCATCCCCATCCTCGCCGGTGGCGTCTTTGTCGCCCTCTGGTTCCCCTCTCACGACGACATCCGCATTGCTGCCTTTTTGCCAGCATTCTACGCTTTGATCGGCTTCTGCGGTCTATATGCCGTATCCTTCTTGGCCATTTGGCCCGGCCGTCGTCGCTATCTCCCACACGATATCACCACCTTGGCTGATCTCATGAGCTATCTTTACCAGTCGCCTCTTCTATCTGATAAGATCCTGCGCGAACCGAGGAGCAAGACTGACCTCGTCACTCGTCTTATCGTTGCTCCGCCCTCTGAACGTCAGCTTCCTTCGTACGGCTTTGGCATTTATGTCGGTCGTGATGGTAAGGAGCATCTTGGTATCGATCGCTTCCATCGGCCTGGTCGTTCTGATATGCTTATTACCACGGGTAATATGAAATGATTTCTCTTACGAACTTTTGGATTGCATCTTCTGTGATGTTATTATGATTTGCATTTGCATTTTTATTGAGCATATTGATGATTGTTTTGAAGCGCGCTGGATTATGAACATATGAGAATGATTTCATTTTTGAAATGTCTTTAGATAGATTTCGGTTTCGGATATTATTATTTTGTCTTACCTACTGTCAGTTGCATTCTCGGCGTTTTTTGCATACTTTATATACTTCCGGTCTGATTGGCGTTATGTTTTGGTGAGATATAGAAATAATTCATTCAATGATAACTTGGATCTACAGTTTCCCTTTGAAAACAATCGCACAAGGACAGCATTGATGTTAATACTTAATTTTCCATGATGAACTCGGCCTTCCGTCCTATACTATCGCAATTGCTATGTAATTGACTTGTTCAATGACATATCCGAGTCAGCCGATGATCTAGCCCTAAAAACTCCAACTATCATTTGACCTCATCTACAGTGTAGCCGGTTGCTTCGTATTGCCCCGAAACAAGGAGTGTTGATCAGCCTGTCAATTATAGCAACCGTCTCTTTCCACAAATCTCTGGGTTTAATTTCCACCAAATTGTTGTAATGTCAAGGCAGCCAACGTTGGAATCATTTGGAATCGGGTCACGTGCAGATCTGCAATGTTGTCTCCGCCTCCGCACGGATTTGCTTCATTCACGAGAACAGGACAATTGCCCGCAGATACAGTGCTTTGAGTAACCCTCGAAGAGGACCATACCCAAATTATCCTCTCCATCCAATTTTATTTTGCACCTCTCAATCCTTCGCCATTTACCCCAGCTCCGCCTCGCATTCGCATCATCAAACAGTCCTCGTCTACGAGCTCACACACCGCGCATAGCAATGGTATCACTATTCGGCTGGGGCTCAAGCCCAAAACCCGAGTCAAGCCAACCAACACCTCCTCAAGAGAAGCCGACACCCGATGAATCCGCAACTCCAGCATCAACACAAACACAAATAGCACAACCACCCTCGCCCCAAACAAACACAAACCTCAAACTCCTCTTCGGAGGAATGACTTTCTTCGCGCTCTCGGTGTTAGTCACACGCCGCGCCTTCCATAAGAAGCGCATCTCCTGCATCCCGCCTTTCTATACAAGCTCGGTGTACCACCAGCCGCACTCGAACTCCGCGGGCGATGCGTTCGAGGCTCTGAATTTGGCGACTCTCAATGTCGTCTCGTTTGGATTGATGGCCGGCGGTGCGGTCGGGTATGCTTTGAATATTAATGGGCTTGAGGATATGCAGAGATTCGTGCGCAATGGGTTGCAGGGTGGTAGTGATACGCCTGTGAAGAGTGATGAGGAGCTCGAGGAGGAAGTTACTGAGTGGGTTTCTAAGATTCTAGGTGATAAGTTTGAGAAGCAATTGGAAAAGGAGAAGATGAAGAGGGCGTTCCAGAAGGACAAGGTGGATCAGGATACTAAAGAGAACTGATGGACTATATACATACCAACTACACTCTACTCATGATTTGATACCAGCTGTACATTATGCATTTACTGGGCATGGTCTGCCGATTACAATGGAAATACACCGAGCGGGTGCGAGCGAGATTACATGGTACAAGGGTTCATTAGTTGTCGTAATCTTACATGGAATTGGCCATCCAGTTATGGCACACAAGGTCATCATCAGATATTCCCCCACCAAACACCCTCTCATTCTTGCCTCACCTCCCCCTCAGATTCCAACCACCCCCACCCCTTCCACCCATATCGTACACAACCGTCCTGAATTGATCAGGAGCGGTCCATCTCCTCGTAGCGCTGGCGGGCGGTGTCCCGGGTCTTCTCCAGGAACTCGTCGTACCGACCCCGGGTGTTCCGACCAGCTTCTTCGGTTGCCTCACCTAGTCGACCCCCTTGAGCACCCAGTCCCACACCCTGGGCATAGATTTCAGTAGGAATCGGCTCGGTCACGCCGGTTCCTTGAGCACCAAGGCCAGTTCCTTCCTTCCAGCCCATCTTGCTGAGAAGAGAAGCACCGATCGAGGTTGACTGCACGGGCGTCTCATCCTCTTCTTCTGGTTCGGCGGGACGCTGGCGGGCATTAGCATCGTCACGTCCGAACGCCGCGCGGCGCTCCTTGGCGCGGTCTCGGTATTCGGGTGCAGCAGGTGCAGCAGACGCAGCGGGAGCAGCAGGCGCAGCAGGTGTAGTAGGTGCAGCAGGTGTAGTAGGTGCAGCAGGCTTGATATCCTGCGCGATACCCGCCTGTTTAAGCTGGTCCAAGCCATACTTCACTGCCTCTTCATCTTGCAATTCCTTCAGATGGCGTTCACTGACGCGGTCGTGTACAAGGACATCTTCCGGGGTATCAAACTTGGTGAAGCACAACAGGCACCAGTTCCGCTTTAGGTCTGCAAATGATCGAGGGGTTGGAGGGATGGAATATTCTCGCTCAAGTGCCTCGCGGTATTCATCCTTGCTGTCTTTGTAATTCGGAGTTGGCATGGGTATTACATGATAGATTATCATCCAGCATATGCCGCGTATTCTCAAATTGATATCCTTCAGATTTTCGCGGTGGATGTCACTTTCGCGCTCGTGATATCTCAGGTGACCCGCATCCACCAGATCTTGCATGCACAAGAGGCAGCGGTTCTTGTTGAAGTCTGCAAATGATGGAGCCGGCGGAGCAGCTGGTTCAGTGGCCAGAACAGCTGGTTCAGTCGCCGGAACAGCTGGTTCAGTCGCCAGACCAGCTGGTTCAATCGCCGGAGCAGCTGATTCAGTCGCGGGAGTTACTGAGCTTGAGCTCTCTGCGGGGTTTCCAGAAGCATCTCGGTTGATCCCATGTAGCTCAGCGTGACGGTCACTCCAGAATTGAAGCTGGGATGGCATTGCAAGCTTCTTTGTACTGGCACTAGCCGGGCCGTCGATCTTTCTCTTTTTACCCTTGTCGGAGTCCTTCATGCCCTTGGCTTGGGCGTCTCCTTTGTTGGAAGTTGTCTTGTTCGCTCTCTGCTCCTGCGCGGCATCGTCTTCCTCAGTTGACACCACGAGTTCCGTGACGAATGCTGCATCATCCCAGTACATCAATTTCAGCGATGGGTTGTTAGATGGGCTGAAAGTGAAGTAGCTAGCACCGGATGGAGCGTTCATGACTGGAACAAACACTCCGCCGTGAATGTAGGAAACCAACACCGGCTTGGAGGAGATGGTGAATTTTTCGAAAGAGTTGAGGCGCGCCATTGCAGCTTGCGCATCCTGAAATGTCAAGCGTTAGAAAGCAAACCCAATATAAGTGATGAATAAAACAAACGTACGGTGATTCCTGCAAATTCTGCGAATCCGTAACCCCAGCTTTCATTGGTTCTGCGGTCACGTACAAGGAGCACGCGACGGAGAGAGCCTTCGCGCGCTCCCAAGTTGCTGTCACCAGTGGTCGAGGCTACCTTCGACCCCTTCTTTTGATTGTCAGGGGCACTGTCATTGTTGCCAGATGGGCGATACAGTTTAGAAACTCCTTTTGCGAGTAGCTCCTCTGTCACAGACGCCGCCAGACCACGGATCAGGAGGAACTGGGAAGGCTGGCCCTCGGGAGCGACATCATTGTCACCTTCGTTAGCTATCTTGGGAGCGGAAACTCCAGGGGGACCGGTAGAATCCATATCTTTTTAGATGGTTAGTGATGCAAATAGGGTGAGGGGTTGTGATGGTGTACGTACCGGGTCGTGGAATACCGCACTTGAAACAATGGGAACGTGTGGAGAAGTTGAGAACGAGACACTGATTTTGTGAGCGCAGAACAATAGGTAAGCCTGGAAGTACCTAGGTACCTATGTAGGTACCTCCGACCAGGGAAAGCGGGTCCTCTAGCCCTGGAGGGCCACCACGTCGACTTACCTGCCTACAGTTCCAATCACTTGCGCCTCTTGCACGAGCTCGGTCTTCCCTCTCGCGGCTGTAAGCTATGCGTACTTTCGTGCTTCGGTCGTTTGTGGGACCATAAAAGAAGATGAAAGGGTGATTGCGTTCGACGAAATCGCGCGATGCGTCAATCGTGGGAAAACGCAGGAACCCTAGTTGCCGCGACAACTCTTGAACACAATGTGATGTTAGTAACGACGCATGCTCTTCAAAACTGTCTGCCAGTTTCACATACTCGTCTGTCGGTCCCGAATGACCCGAATATTTTCCAGGCCATCGACATGATAGGCATTGCTGAGTTCAGTCGCGATCTATTTGCTCACAAAAGAGCGCATTGTCAGCATTTGTCCTCGACAGCGGGAATATTCAAACGCCTGATCCAGCCACTGGACTCCATAACTCACATGTTCCTCTGCCATGTCCACTGGAAGTCCGTCCATCATCACTTCTCGGCTCACCTGTCCCATATGGGACTGGCCTCGACGAGGGCTACGAGATCGGCTTCGATTGCCGCTCGCACTTCGATAACCCTCTCGATCGCGGTCTTTGTACGTATTTCTACCTCTGTGAGGAGATGAGCGCGAAGTTCGATGGCGATAATCATCGCGATCATGGTTTCGGTAGCCTTGTCCAGATTCTCGGTCTCTGGGGTACTCGGGTCTGCCGTCGGCAGCTAGTCTTCGAGGCGAGCGTGCACGATCTTTATTTACCGATTCAGATGAGAATGAGATTAGCCTCAATTTGATACCATGTGGTAGGGAACTCCTGTGAGCAAGATGTGCATGGGCTTATGCACCATTGACGTGCGGGGAGAAGCTTACCAGGCGAGCGAGATCGTGATCGATCATCATACATGCTGCCATGATCATTTCGCGAAGGAAAAGGTCGACGAGATGAACTCGAAAATTTATCATTCCGATACGGAGGCGCCATGGTTGATGAACATTTGAAAGAATGAACGGAGCAAAAGAATGAATGAGTGACTGAAACCTGGAGACCTCGAAGCTCCGATAACGATTATCTCCAACCCGATACCGGCATAAAATATTTCCGATCCGAGCAGCTACTTCGAATGTTCTACCGCCTTTGAAAGCGCTTGAATGTTCTCCAGGGATGTTACATGCAATGAATATGAATATGCCTGCGCATTTCCGAGATGCTTTGTTCTATCTGCATCCACTTGCTCTTGTATCACATAGATATGGAAGTACCTTGTATCTACATCAATAGTTACAGGTACCTGTATCCATTGCAACTAATAACATGTCGCCCTGGAGTACTTCATGTCCTGGAGATATACTTTGATATACTTCTCATTATCAAATGACACTTCACATTAATTTACATGGATCAGATGCAGCACAAATCTGAAAAATGGCCTACCAAAAACCCCTCCAGCCCAGTTGCATCATCGTATCTATTATCATGCACGTGGAGACGATGACGATCCACATGGCTTCTGATTCAACAGTTGCATTCCAAAACGGCTCACACCTCGGGCCGACATATCAATCCCTGAGGACCCCGATGATTGTCCGCATCTGCCCCGCGGTGGGATAAACATGACCGATTCGCCATGCTCCAAGTGTCCTTAACAACACATCTCTCGGAGCAAATAACATAAATATATAGCCAACACTGCTCCAGAATCCCAAATTCTCTCTTACTTCCTCTCAGGATACCTTAATTCCCTCCCTTAAATTGCCATGTCTAAAACCGCCATGGCTACCCCAGGAAACTCAAACCACCGTGCCTGGTGGAAAGAAAGCTCCGTGTACCAGATTTGGCCTGCCTCCTTCAAGGACTCAAATAACGATGGTATTGGTGATATCCCCGGTATCATCTCCAAACTTGACTACATCAAGAACCTCGCCGTGGACATCGTCTGGCTGTGTCCATCGTACAAATCGCCGCAGGTGGACATGGGCTATGATATTTCCGACTACTACAGCATCGCCGATGAGTATGGCACAGTTGAAGATGTCGAGAAGTTGATTGCTGGCTGCCACCAGCGGGGTATGAAACTTCTGATGGACCTGGTCGTCAACCACACCAGTGATCAGCATGAATGGTTCAAGCAGTCGCGCAGCTCCAAGGATAACGAGTACCGTAACTGGTACGTCTGGAAGCCGGCCAAATACGATGAACAGGGCAACCGCCAGCCGCCCAACAACTGGGTTTCTCATTTCCAGGGTATGTACTTCTATTTCTACCAGTGTTAGACCCATCTAACAATATAATTCAGGGAGCGCCTGGCAATGGGACGAACTGACCCAAGAATACTATCTGCACCTATACGCGGTCGAGCAGCCCGACCTCAACTGGGAACATCCTCCCGTCCGCAATGCCGTGCACGATATAGTGCGATTCTGGCTCGACAAGGGCTGCGATGGGTTCCGCATGGACGTGATCAACTTCATCAGCAAGGAACAGAGCTTCCCCGATGCACCCATCAAGGACCCACGGACGCCCTGGCAGTGGGGTGACAAGTGGTACGCAAACGGCCCGCGCTTGCACGAGTACCTCCAGGGAGTTGGCAAGATTCTCAAGGAGTACGACGCCTTCAGCGTTGGCGAGATGCCGTTCGTTACTGACGAGAAAGAGGTGCTCCGTGCGGTGCAGTTTGACCGCAATGAGATCAATATGATCTTCAACTTTGAACATGTTGACATTGACCATGGCAAATATGATAAGTTTGAACCTGGTAGCTGGAAACTCACTGATTTGAAGGACTTCTTTGAGCGTTGGCAGACCTTCATGTATGCCAATGATGGTTGGAATGCACTCTACTGGGAGAATCATGACCAGCCGCGCTCAATTGATCGCTACACTAATGCTAGTGAGCAGTATCGACTCGTTGCGTCCAAGATGCTGGCTACGGCCCTGGCGTTGCAGGCTGGTACTCTGTTTGTTTACCAAGGACAGGAGTTGGGAACTAGAAATGTGCCCAAATCATGGGGTATTGAAGAATACAAAGACATTGATTGTCTGAACCACTGGAAAAGGTAATTCCACTCTCCTCATGGCACTTGAGGATGTTAGCTGACAATGGGTATTCCATAGACTGCCAAAGGGCGACACCGCTGCCCAAGCAATTGCTCTCCAAGAATATCAGAAGAAGTCGCGCGACAACGGACGCACCCCGGTCCAGTGGTCGGCTGCCGAGAATGCCGGTTTTACTGGACCTGACGTCAAGCCCTGGATGTCTGTGAACACCGATTACGTGCGGGTCAATGCCGAAGCGGAAGTCAAGGATCCCAACTCGACATACCATTACTGGGCTACTGTGCTGAAACTGCGCAAGAAGTACCTCGATGTCTTTGTCTACGGTAATTTTACACTTCTGGACAAACCTAACCAGGAGGTCTTTGCGTACACTCGCCAGTATGGTGACCAAAAAGCCTTGGTTGTGTGTCACTGGACAGAGAAGACTCTGGAGTGGGACGCGGCCAGCAATGGTATCACTGGCGTGAAGCAGGTCTTGCTCGACACTTATGAAGGTGTTGACGAGGCTTCCCAGCGGTTCTCTGGTGAAAAGTGGTCACTTCGTCCCTATGAGGCTGTGGTGTTGCTTCTGTGATATATATATGAGAAGATCTGCGCTCGGCCACAAGACATTCCTCATACATTGTAGCTAGACTGTTTTCCACAATGAAGAAAATCGAACAGAACCCCAAGCAATAGAATAAGAATCATAGAACGAACACCTGAACCAAAAAATTCATACCAAGCTGTCAACTCACGGTGCTCTCCGCAGATCGGGGGACGCCTCTTATCCGATCCCCGCAGCAGATAAAGCATCGAGGGGGTCGATTCCAACATTCCAACATTCGAAAGAACCCAATCTAATTCCCTCAACCCCATTGATCCTCATTCCAATAACAAAATGTCTTCTTCAGAACAAGCCCAACTCCCCGCCCATCTCGACCCAAAAACCTACCCACGCACACACCACGACGCCACCCAAAACATCCACATTACACTAACATACGACACCCTGGACGCAAACACCTATTTATCGCAAACCTCCTCCCCCGCCGCGGGCGCCAACATCCTCTTCCTCGGCACCACGCGCGATACCTTCGAAGGCCGCTCCGTCTCGCAGCTCAGCTACACGACCTACCCGCCTCTGGCGCTGAAGACCCTAACGGGGATCGCCGAGGCCGCTGTGAAGACGCATCGGCTTGAGGGAGTGAGTATTGCGCACAGGCTGGGCACTGTGCCCATTGGAGAGGCTTCTATTGTTATTGCTGTTAGTGCTGGTCATCGGGGTGCGGCGTGGAGGGCGGGTGAGGAGGTGCTTGAGGCTTGTAAGGAAAAGGCGGAGATTTGGAAGAGGGAGGAGTTTGTTGATGGGGGGATGGAGTGGAGGGCTAATGCGGATCGGGATGCTGAGGGGAGGGTTTTGGGGACCGGTGCTGTTTAAGGATATACATGGTGTTTAGGCTGGGGTTTTGTGCTTTGATGAACTTGCTGGTTGGTTTTCCGATTCTTGTGGCTTGTGGGTAATGCTGATGGTTTCTTTTACAGGTGTCACCCAAACAAAATTGGTTCGAAGGGCCTCTATATTTGTTTGTTTCGACCGAGTTCGGCCTGGTTACTCCGAAGGTACGAGCATGACCACAAAAAAGGGAGCATTTGGAACACTTTTCTGGGCTGAGTAGGGTATTCAGATATTCAAATGACTCTATTGTACAATTTCCTTACATACACCTGGCGCAAGTCTCTTACTCCGTCTTGAGTGGCTTTCCCTCTCTCTTCCAGTCATTGATGTGCTCCATGATCACCTTGGACGCAGACTCGGGGGTATCCTGGCGGCCGATACACTCAACGAAGTCATTGTCGGGGTCTATGATAAACAATTAGCATACTGAAACTGCATATATAGGTTACAGCTTATCAGCCAACTCACCCATCAAGTAGAAGTAGATGCTGTGGTCCACGAGGTAGTCCTCGCCGGGCTTCACATCCTTGGGGGTACTGAAGTACACACGGTACTGCTTGCACACATGTTTGATTTGCTCGTACGTGCCAGTCAGGCCGACAATGCCGGGGTGAAACTCCTTCAGATACTCGCGCAGCACCTCGGGCGTATCACGGACGGGATCGCAGGTAATGAAAACGGGCATGAAGAGCTTCTCGTCTCCGGTCGCAGCCTTGACCTTCTCGATGATCTCGGCCATCTTGTCCAGCTCATCGGGGCAGATATCGGGGCAGTGAGTGAAACCGAAGTAGACCTATAGAAATAAAGAGAGATTGTGTCAGCAAGTACCGTCCCACCATATCAGACCCATTGAGAATCGTCTACTCCATTGTCCCGGGTAACTCACGAAGCTGTATTTGCCCTTCAGGTCCTCCGCCGTAAACTCCTTCCCATCAAGATCCTTGAGGACGAACGGACCGCCAACCTTCGGCTTACCAACACCCTTGCTCATCTCCGTCATGCGCTTGCGCTCAAGACGCGCCTTCTCAACACGGAAGTAGAGCATCATACCGGCACCGGTCAGCACGAAGAGCAGTGCGGCCTTCCACGAGAATGGGCCGGTCGAGTTGCGCTGGCGCATCTGGCCCATTGTCTTAGGGCCTGCTCGGAAGGCGGAGGTTGAGAAATTGTTATGCGCGGAGATCATGGTGCGCATGCTTTGGTTGCATCGTGGGCGCTGTGCTTGGGTGTAGGCTCGGCATTGTGATGCGGTGTTATTTCGGAGGAGAGGGAGGATGCGTTGTGTTGGGGTAGACTCAATGGCGATATTGCGGGTGGCTCGGGTGAAGAGCCCACTGGCCAATCTCACGGGAGAAGGCATTTTGATTGTTGTGAAGTGGTTGGGGAGGTCTCGAAGGAAGGTTGATTATCAATTGTCAGTTCCGGAATTCGAGAATCTCCAGATCGACAGCTCAATTAAGTTTAGCGTATATGCCTCAGGCGCCAATTT